AAGACAAAACTGTGGAGACAATAGAATCATCAGTACCAGGTACGGTGGCTCATGCCTCTAATCCCAGCACTTTGGGAGGCTGAGGCAGGAGAACTGCCTTTTTAAAATTATGTTTTTAACTTTTTGACAGTCATGACTTGATGTGCTACTTTTACAAAATGCCTCTGCCTCGAGGATGATGTAAATATTGCTTTTGTGACATAGGGCACATGCCATGTGACGTGACTTCAAGACTTGCCACTAACCTCATTTCCATAGGCAGGAACCTTGATGTGGCCTCGGGCTGGGTTGGGACTTCTAAGGCTGAGCCAAAGGGACATTTCCGACCAGTGGTGCTGTTGTTGGTGACCTCTTACAAGAGTGGTTTTGAAGGTACTACTTTGCTTTTAAAGCTAATAAAGATGCTTCTGTGTGCCCTGAAGACAGCAGGTCACATTATGACTCCCAATTATATTATTATTATATTGTAAGGGAGTGGCAAGACAGTAGAATGGAAATAGGACTGGGTTCTAGGGCTCTGCTACCCAGCAGCAAGTCCGTTAACACCCTGAGCCCCCAGGTCCTCAATTTGTAAAGTAGAAGTGTAATAGCAACATAATAATAGTAAGACTGATAAAATATCTTAATCCACAGAGGTGTTTGGTCCTAAATAAATAAAATTATATGTGTTAAATTAAAAAAAAATGGGTGCTATGGTTTGAATGTCCCCTCCAAAACTCATTTTGAAACTTAATTGCCATGGTAACAGTATTAGTAGGTGGGACCCTTAAGAGATCATTAGGCCATAAAGGCTATGCTCTCTTGGGTGGGATTAGTGCTTTATGAAAAGGCAAGTATGGCCCTCCCCTTCCCCTCTCTTTGCTTTCCTGCTCTTCTGTTGGGTGAGGAATAGCATTTCTCCCCTGCGGAGGATATGACATTCAAGGAGCCATACTGGAAGTGAAGAGGGACCTCACCGGACAGCAAACCCACTGACACCTTGATCCTCCCAGCCTTCAGAACTGTGAGACATAAATTTCTGTTTCTTATAAATTACCCACTCTGAGATATGTTATAGCTTCACAAAACAAAGACAAAGGGTATGATTCCTATTCAATATGACTAGAAGAGGTTCTGCACTGTTTTGAAGGGGAAGACTGAGAAGTTGGGAGCAGATGATGTCTTAGTTCCCTCATTGTAAAAATGAGCTCTACTGGAGAGCCTATTGGACAAAAGCATTATCATGTTAATTAAATATAAATAAAAACAGAAAAAAGTTTTATAACTTGTCTTGAGTCCCCATATTATTTTAAAGTGCCTTTTCATAGTCAAGCTGTATTCGCTTGAGTTAAAGGAAAATGAAAGACTGAGTATGAAAAATAAAAGTGACTAAAACTTAGGGAATATAATTAAATGAATAAGGGATATCTAGCTAGTTATAGCCCATAAAGCAGTATGTTTTCTTTCTCACATCTCACTGAATACCCAAACACACAGACACACAGACCACAGACACACTCGGACACGTCACACACATACACAGACAGAGAAAGAGATAATGTCAGGGTCTGAATTTTTATGTATAGTTATGATGTTAACAATACTGCTCTCTATAGTGAAGTATTTGAAAAGTGTGTGTGTGTGTGTGTGTGTGCACACGTGCGAGTGTGTTTTCAATTTCAGTATATTTCAATGAAAAACCAGTTATCTGGATGGCGTAACGATAAGATAATTTATCTACCTAACAGTACAGACACAAACATTAGCCTCTGACAATAGCTAGAAATGTAAAAGACGACCTAGAGCTGGATCTTTCTAGGTGCTTCTTTTACAGATGAGAAAATAGAAGTAAAAAAGTTAATATCTGAGCCTAACTCAAATATTTGAATACTCAGACCAGAGCTTTTTTTCTAATATATGACACTCTCTGAACAAAGATCACTGGTCAGAATAGTATGTTGTTTGACCTCGGATATTTGTAGCCACTTCACATTCCAAGCAGGTTAACGTCTTTCCTGATTTACAGAAAAATGCATTTGAAATAATAAAACAGTATCAATTCCTCAAAGAATGGTATAACTATTGATCTTTTGTGGATCAATTATGTGTATAGCAATATAGAATAACTGATGAAAATGAAATGCAATTTTTTTAACAACATGGCACCAATATTAAAGACTGAAGAGTATATAAATATTATAATGAGCCAAGCATTAATTCTCCAATAGTTCTTCAAGAATTTAGCTACCTTTGTTAATAGTTAGTGTTCCAGAAAATCAACTTGGGTCACTTTTACCTTTTCTGTTTCCATTTGCCAGTTTCTGTGTGTTTTGTGTTTAAGGGCTTGTACCTGTAGCCTTCTTTAGAAACTAAACTGTGGCCACTGGAGCCACTGCAGAGAACCAGAAGTGCCTATGAATCTTTTTTGCACACCATATGTGTACTTCCACCAAGGGCTGTAGCCAATAACTGACGAGAGCCAGAGTAGAGAAGCCCAGATTCTTTGTTTTCCTAAGATGAACTCTGAGATATAAGTTAGAATCCAGAGCTTCCCTCTGTCATGAGTATGACTGGCACCTTCCTTCACAGTATCACTGGCCCCATTCTTTTGCCAGTTCCCCTGCGAATTTGCTTATATTGTTTGTGCACAATTCCATGCTATCATTTTCTGATTCTATGATGTATTATTTGCTAAATATTTCCTTAATGCTAGCTTCAGTGATTTTTACTAGTAAATTAGAGCTATTCATCTTTAGGTCTATTTATACATAATCTTTACAACCCACCAAAAATGTTGATATATTTATTTTCATTTTATTAATATGAAATCTGAGGCATAGGGAGATTAATTGACTTTTTCTGGCCATAAGCATAATGAAACACAGAGTCAGTACATGAATTAGAAATCCTTGACTTCCAGCTCCATGGTTAATCCATTAGTAGTGGGTTATCGCTATCTTCTTACAAAATAAAATTTTCATAATATCATCTAATCCATCACTAAAATAAAACCTATGTAATAAAGCCAAATATTATACATACAAGAATGAACATAAATATTATGTTAGTTACTATCTTTTAGAATTATATTGATTTCTAAAATTTTGATTGGGTGAATGTGGTTCTCTTTCTATTGAATCGGTATGATTTATCCTAACTTAGAAATATTGCAAGTTATTTTCATCCTCAAACATATATAACGGTATACATGATTATAAAATTGGACAGTGATTTTCTGTGTGTAAAATATAACCCTTATAAAACACAGAGAAATATTTTGATTCTAAAAAGTTGCTTGTATATATGTTCACGTTGCTTGTTAAAGAGTCAGAAATTTTCAGTGTATGAAAATATATTTAAACCAGTGAACATAAAATATATATTTTCTTGTGACAACGTGCTATAGGCTATAACATTTGAAAGCCTAGCCCAGCAGATTTCTGAGCACATGTTGGCCAGGCTAATTTGCAGAATCTAGATTCCAATTTAAATTCAGTAAAGTTTTCCTTTTTTAGGCTATGGATTTACCTACGTCACTTAAAGATAATGACAGTTTTTATTGACTACATAATGCTGAAATTATTAGAGCGACAAAAAATGGATACAGCTATGCTACTAAGTTACCGCTCCCATTATCAGAACTAGATTTACTCTGAAGCAGTGGAATAGAGGAAGCTATTTGTTACGGTTGGAATGTCCCCTCCAAGCTAATGTTGAAATTTGATTACCATTGTAACAGTAGCCAGAGACAGACCTTTAAAAGGTGATTAGGCCATGAAGGATATGGCTTCATCTGTGAGGTTGGTGTCACCATGGGAGTGGGTTTCATACTGCAGAAGTAAGCTCCCTGTAAAAGGATGAGTTTGGCTTCCTTTTATTTCTCTGTCTCTCTGGCCTTGTCCTCCCACAATGGGATGATGAACCAAGAATTCCCCTCCAGACGCTGGACCCTCGATCTTGGTTTTCTTAGTCTCCAGAACCATAAACCAATAAATTTCTGTTTATTATAAATTACTTAGTCTGTGGTATGCTGTTATAGCGCACAAAACGAACTAAAAAAGTAGAGTTCTATTTCTCCTCTTACCCTCTATTTCTTCAGAGGAAGACTAAATTCCTTTATGATTTCCTTTGCTTTCAATAAAGTACAGAAATGCAAGATGTTCTTTCTTATTGGAACCTACCACTGCATATTACATATAATTTTACATGAAAATTTTTATTTAACATTCCCTTTGCAAATTTCTAGAAGTAGTACTAACACAATGAGACATGTCAGAATTGACTATGTGGTCTGCTGTAATATTGATGCCAAGACGATCGTAATGGTGAGAAATGAGAGAGAAAAGCCTAAAGAATATGAATATAATAAAGGGAATAAAGTATATACATTGGGGAAATATACTTATTGAGAACAATTTTGTATAGCAAAAATGGAAATAAGGGTTCCATGATCATAAATAAGGATTTGTCAACTGAGTTTATCTTGCTGGCTGCTTATTAAATAAAATAGTTAACCTGAATGTAAATAAATTATTTCATTTATAAGCTATTTCCATGTATCCCTAAATAATGCTTTCCAAATTATAGCAGACTGTAACTTTAAACTCACTGACAAAGGATATGTTCTACAAAAACCCACTTTAGGTTATAGTAATTCAATTAAAATTTCTTCTTAACTGAATTTTAGAAGCAATCTTATAGTAACCAAACTATAAATTGAAGAAATCGAAGAAATGACTAAATGACCTCTTCTTACAATATTGTAACACTCTGTAAAGTAGGTCATGACAGAAATGAAAATCTTACATCTTCTACTTTATCTGATACAAACCAAAATAAATTAATTAAGAAATTAGAAGCAGAATAGTAAGTTAGAGAGGATTCAAAGAAACAGAAGGTGTGAGGTTAGGTTAGGCCAAAGAGGAACAGGTTTTAAAATAATATTGCATAACGACATGCTTAATATATACATATATATGCGTATATATGTAGTTTTATAGGAAGCTCCAAATAAGACCTACTTTCTCATAGTACTTGATCTCGTAGTCCAGAATGGCTCCATTGGAAAAAGCAGGTGCTTGCCATGACAGGGCAATGCTATTTTGGGATGCCCAGTCCTTCCTTACCACACCTATCAGGGAAGGTGCTGAAAGGAAAGAAAATAACTAAGAATTAATTGGCAGGAATCATTTTTCATTATCCTTTTTTTAATATATTCTCTTCCAAGGAAAATAAAATTCTTGTTGAAGAGGACACCATTTGTTGAAGGCAGATTAATAGGATATGCTCTATTCACCCAAAATAAGGCATTAAATATATGTAGGAATACTCTTAGGGAACACAGGAAAAACTCAAATATTCCAAGAGTAAGGGCTAGAAGTCAACATCTTTGGTATTATTAGGGGACGATAATTTTCTTTAAAATGGTTTTGGTCTTGAACTACAACATGAAATATAATATACTTGGCTTGTGCGTTTTATCAAATATTTATCTACTGTAGGAAAGCACAAACTTTGCAATTACAAGATCATTTACAGCCTTCTTCCTTTCCTCTAGACATTTTAAGACTTTACAAAGTTTATATTATAAGCTTTATAATTGCAATAAATGATTGTTTATGAATGTGAGGATTATTTCTTTTGCATAGTTTCTACGATATTTAAATAAAATTAAAATATTTAACTTTAGAAATTATTTTCAGAATCATGTCTATTTTATTTTCCTATACATTATAATTTAACATTCTAATTCAAAATTAAAATAATCTGTGTTAAACTTCCAATATATAACCAAAAAATATATATCTTAAATTATTCTTTGCACCTTTCATAAAATACTTTTTAAGTATTCTAATTTAAAAAAAAAACAGCACTGTTTGACAAAGAAGTCAACAATCATTCAGAAAAAGTGAAATCATACTGAAAACATACTGATATGCCATTTCTCACATAACAGATTGTCAAAAAAAATTCAAAAATTTGGTAAGGCACTCTGTTAGCTAGACTATAGGATAAAACACTCTACCACATTGTTCGTGGTAATGCGAAATGATACAACTCTTATGAAGGGAATTTTAAGCCAAAAATTATGTATTTATTTACACTTCGGCTTTTTGGAATCTCTCTCAGAGACACACTGCACAACACAAAGTGACATATTTACAATACTATTCATGGAGATTTATTTCTAAAGATTGTAACAATCTAAATGCCCATCAATAAGGGAGTGGTTGAAAAACAGCTACATCCACTAGAGAATTATGAAGTTGTAAAACGGAATTATGACTCTATAAACACTAGAATAGAGTTATTTCAGAATATATTTTTAGCTGAAGAAAGTAAAGTGAAGGAAAATGTATAAAAATGATGTAAGGATAAACCTAAGAATAAGAAATAATTATAATGGTTGCCCTTAGGGGGTGAAAGGCAATAGGATAAACACTACAGGGTTAGAAACTAGACATCTGTGAACGTACCTTGCCTTGCAAATTTACTTTGTAAAGTAAAAATATTATAAATGATTAAAAACAATTTTAAGAACAATTTTGAAAAATTAACAGAAAAATAAAATGAAGAATAGTGTATTGAATTGGAGATAGAGACTCCAAGAGGGAACTGTTTAACATAGCTTTAAATCACAGTAATTTAACAAACATCTCAATGAGATGTGCTTTAAGAATTAAACAAGAAAAACTTGCCAAAAATTATTAAACTGCTTTTAGTAATGATTTTCTTGATGTTAGTATTGGTATTTTAATTTTGAAGCTGTTACATGTATATATATATATATATATATATATATGTATATATAAAGGTATAAAGCAAATGAGTAATTATGTTATTATTGAGAACCAGATTTTTTTCCTCCCGTGGGAGAAAAGATATTGAAATGCCAGATAATTAACATAAATAAAAACTCAAAGTTAGAAGTTACACTATTAACTCAATATTTCTTTCCAATTCATTTTCAGAAATCTACTTAAATGTACCAATCACAGGTGAGAATTAGATTGGAAAAATTGATTCTCTGTCATATTTTCGATTTCTAAGAAAGGCTTAAGTATTAAAAGTTTGGCATTTTATTTCTGAAGGCTGCTTTTGGGTTCTAAGGACAAAGTATTTTCTTAAATTTGTGAGAATGACAAGTTTGGTTTTTCTAAGAAAATAAGGTCTTTATAAACTGTGTTTAAAATTCTTTCCAGCTGTTCAATGGGAACATTATTGTTGGACTAGAATATATTCTTAAAATGAGAGATAATTACAGAAGTCATTAGGAAATAAAAGTTTGTTGTCTGAGCTGAAACAGAAATGAGTAATGTGGTATATAAGAAAAAGCACTCAGATAATTCACTATCTAAATTAAGCCCTAACTATAGACTGTAGAGACACAACAAGACTACTTAAAAAAAGAAAAAAAAAAAGAACCAGCTATGTACTGTTTACAAGAAACTCATTTTACTGTAAAGACACAAATAGACTGAAAGTGAAGGAATGGAAAAAGACATTCCATGCAAATGCTAGCCAAAAATGAGCAGGAATAGCTATATCTGTATCAGGAAAAACAGACTTTAAGTCAGGAACTTTGAAGAGACATTTATATAATGATCAATGAATCAACTCAGCAAGAAGATGTAACAATTAGAAATATATCTGCACTCAACACTGTGACAACCAGATATATAAAGCAAATATTAAATCTAAAGGGAAAGATAGGCCCCAATACAATAGTAGTTGGGGACTTCAACATCCTACTGTCAGCATTACATTGCTTATCTAGACAGTAAATCAACACAGTAATATTGGATTTAAATAGCACTGTAGACCAAATGGACCTAACTAATAGTTACAAAACATCTCATTCAACAGCTTCAGAATACACATTCTTCTCATAGACCTGGGACATTCTCTAGGATAGACCACATATTTGGCCATAAAACAAGTCTCAACAAGTTTATAAAAACTGAAATACTATCAAGTATCTTTTCTGACCACAATAGAATAAAACTAGAAATCAATAAGATGAATGTAAAAAATTACACAAATGTGGAAATTAAACAACATGCTTCTGAGTTACCAAATAAACAAATTAGGAAAGAAATTACACATTTTCTTGAAGCAAATGAAAACAGAAACAAAATATTCCCAAACCTAAGAGATACAGAAAACAGAGTACTAAGAGAGAGGTTTATGGCAATAAGTGCCTATATTTAAAAAGTGGAAAGATTTCAAATAAAAAATCAAGTGATGCATCTAAAGGAGCTAGAAAAGCAAGAACAAATCAAGCCCAAAGCTAGTAGAAGAAAATAAATAATAAAGATCAGAACAGAAATAAACAATATGGAGACAAAATAATATAAGACATCAGTGAAATTAATATTTTGAAAAGAGGAACAAAATTGACAAACCTTTAACTAGACTAAAAAAAAGAGAAAGAACACCCAAATAAATAAAACCAGAAACCAAAAAGAAGCCATTATAACTGATACCACAAGAATACAAAGGATCATTAGAGACTGTTATAGGCCACCATATGCCAACAAATTGAAAAACCTAGAAGAAATAAATACATTCTTGGACACATACAAACCACCAAGGTTGAACAGTGAAGAAATAGAGAATCTGAACAGACTAATAATGAGTAACATGATAGAACCAGTAATAAAAAATCTCCCAACACAGAAAAGACCAGGAATAATGGCTTCACAGGTGAACTGTACCACCCTGTGAAAGAAGAACTACCATCAATTCTTAACTATTCCAAAATAATAAAATGGAAAGGGAAGGAATTCTTCCAAACTTATTCTATGAGGCCAGTGTTAGCCTGATACCCAAACCAGACTAGGGCACAACAAGAAAAGTACAGGCAAAAATCTCTGATGCACATTGACACAAAAATCTACCAGCACAGCAAAAACACCATATACCATGATCAAGTGGGATTTATCCCCTGGATGCAAAGATGGTTCAAAATAGACAAATACAACACATCACATCAACAGAATGAAGGACAAAAATATAATTATCTCAACAGATGCAAAAAAAAGCATTATTAAAATTAACATCTCTTTATTATACAGAATTTCTAAAAATTAGGTATAGAAGGAATGTACGTCAGCACAATAAAGGGCACATATGACAAACACACAGCCAACATCATATCGAATGGGGAAAAGTTGAAAGTTTTTCCTCTAATAAATGAAATAATACAAAGATGCTTACTTTTAACACTCTTATTTATTATAGAACTGGAATTCCTAGCCAGAATAATTGGAGAAAGAAAGAGAAAGTATTCAAATTGGAAAGGAGGAAGTAAATTTCTCCCTAATTGAAGATGACATGATCTTATATACAGAATAACATAAAGACTCTACCAAAAAACTCTTAGAATTAATAAATTCAGAAAAGTTGCAGGAAATAAAATCAACATACAAAAATCAGTAGCATTTCTATACAATAGTCATAAATGTGCTGAAAAAATCAAGAAAGCAATCTCATTTACAATAACTGTAATCAAAAATAAATACAATATCTAGCACTGAATTTAACCAAGGAGATGAAAAATCTCTATAATAAAAACTATAAAACCCTGATGAAAACCTTTAAGAGAAAACAAATAAATGGAAAAACATGCTATGCTCATGGATTCAAATAATTAATATTGTTAAAATCACTATATCACCCAAAGCAATCTACAGATTCCATACCGTCTTTATCAAAATGCCAATTACAGTCTTCACAGAAATAGAAAAAACAAATTCTAATATGTATATGGAAGCATAAAAGATCCCAAATAGCTGAAGAAGTTTTGAGGAAAAAAGAAAAAAAAAGCTGAAGGCATCACACTGACTGGCTTCAAAATATAAATATATTAAAAAGATACAGTAACCAAAGCAGCATGGTTCTGTCATAGAAATACATTAAAAACAAAACAAAACAAAACAAAACAAAAAAAACCAAAGTGACAGAATAGAGAACCAGAAATAAGCCTATGTATTTGCAGCCAGCAGATTTTGGCAAAAATGCCAAAAACATACGTTCTTTTCCTCAATGTGTCTTTTTTGCATCTTTTCAATAAATGGTGCTGAGAAAACTGGACTTCTACATGCAGAAAATGACACTAGACATCTATCTCTCACCATATATAAA